TTTTCACTTAATTAACTTGAAAGTGAAAATAAACTCAAGTCCTACTTCAACTTTTAATCACAATATTTAATCATGATATTAATATGTCATACTTAATACAATCTTTATAAGATTATATACTCAACATATTAAACTAAAACTTTGCCAAATTGCTCAACACTTATATGAGAATTGAGCATAATAATCTCACTTTAATAACTTGATCATATCATGAATATTCATGCATATATAATCATCTTTACATATATGCCTTGTAATTATCATAACTCATTCATTTCTCAACATTAAATCATGAAATTTAGCAGTCATGTTCTTAACTCATATTTAGACATGTCATAAAAATTTCATAACTTTATCATGCATATATCTCGACTTATTAAAGTTTAAAGTTGCTGCTGGAAACAAGTACATAAAATTCAGCTTGCATGATGAACTTTAAAAATTCATATCTTGAGTTATACTAAACTAAATGACTTGATTCTTGATCCTATGTACTCCTCTTTTACACACAAAATAACCATAGGAAGCATAGATTTCCAAATTTTTCATAACTAGGTAAAAATCTCATCATAACTGAACACATATGACATATATATAAGCTAGAAATAACTTATTTTCTAGCATGTTTATATTCATATAAAACTTTAATATCTAAGTCATATAAAAACATTATTAAACACTTAATATCATCTACTAATCATATAAACTCATTATCAAAACATGAACCTAAGCATGTAACTTTTAAGATAAGTAAATTACCTCCTTCTTGCTAGAGTAAAACTTGATTCTTTACTTCTAAATTCTTCACTTCTCCAAAGTTTCTACTACTTATTCTCTCTTACACTCTTATATAACTTTTGGTACTTAACTTTGGTGTAAGAACTCTAATTTTTAGGCCTCTATTTATAGGCATAAATTAGCAAGACATCATAATGGAGTGAAGAAATGAACAAAATAAACAATTTAACCTTATAAACTTAATTAATCATAAACTATTTTATGATTAACTTGTATTCTTATCCCAACATAATTAATCATCAAAAATGGCCTCTAGTTATAGCCATGAATGAGCTTTTTGGTAGATAAAACTTATTCCACCAAGTTTAATAAAATTCTCACCAATTGTTGAAAAAAAATGCTAACTTAAAGACTTAGCAAAACTTTGTTGTGATGTTCTCATCTCATTCTCACCAATTGATGACCAAAATTTCGTGCTTAATGTAATGGAATTGATTCCATATATTATTGAAAAAAATTTCCCCATTCATCATATAAAAATCTTTGGAACAAAATAATAAAAATCATCCTTTTTATTACTTATGCATTTTCTTTCGAAATGGCTGATTTTTAAAACTCTTAAACTGAAAAGTAATGCTCATATATGGTCTTGGATCATGCTAATAAATCGAGAATAATACAATTTACGGAACTCAATTCGGACTTAAAACGAACGTTTACCGTAAAACTGAAAATTCTAAAATTTAAAATCTTTACTCACAGTTTTTTTTTTTTTTTCAATTTAATGAACATATTGCTTCTTAGGATCTAATATATTTATCTTGGAATATTCTAACATTTACGAAACCACATTCGGACTTAAACCGAACGATTATCGTAAAGCCGAAAATTCTAAAAATTTCGGTTTCTCTTAAAATAATTTAAATAGACTATAATGTCTAAATAAATTTTCTCACTTATTTGAACATTTATCACTTAAATATTCATGGATACTTAACCTTACTTCAAGACTTAACTTGTATCAACTTATGCTAAAACTCAATATTATGATCTTATCTGGATGACTTAAACACTTATAAAAATTCTAAGTATTTAGTACTAAGGCTCGGCTATTTCTTAATTAAGTTCAACTCATGACCGAACATACTTGGTTTCAGTTCACTACTTATCTTAAACGATTAATCAAAATATACTCAATTTTGATTATTCGTTATCTTATATTAATTAATCCCGTCTTATAAATCCATTTATAAAAATAAACAGACCGAAATTAATTAATTAGTGAACTGGCTCGATTACTGAATAAAATTTAACCGAGAATACTTTCGACTTAAAGTCGAACTTTTAACCGAATAACTTAATAACTGGCTCGGAACTAGGAACGAGCATTATTAATAAAAGTACTTAGTTCAACTTAGAATAATTACTTTTATTAATTATTGAATGGGATATTACAAAGATTCCTTGGACGTTCCTTTGGAGACTCTTATGTTCGACCACATCTGGATAAACCACTAGGTTGCTCCTGACATATGAGTTGGGCGATCCCCTGACCGTTTGCTCGACCACTTAGTCCTTCAATCAGGTCTTCTTCAGAGCTGAGACTGACCTGACCTCTCGAGGTTCTTGTTGCCATGATCTTTGTCCACCACCGGCCCGCGTAAGCTCTGTTCGACCAGATCAATTCCTTCGGTTTATTCCACCGACCCACTGGACCGTTCTTGGGTATAATATCCCATATCACATTTAATGTCCACATCATTCATATTAAATTTTATTTGATCTCTTCCTTCTTGTATACTATACTTATTTAACATAAACCATTTCAAGTTTCCTTTTCTTATATTACCATATATTAAATTTTATTTTCTTATTTAATTCATACATCATATATTATAAATGTTTATTCTTCTTTTTTTTTAAAAAAAAAACTTTATAACCTTTTCGGGTTCTATTTTATTTTTATATATAATATATCAAATTATTTATCTTTTAACGATTTTCGATTTGACATTCATATTATACATACAAAGTATAGAACAATGATATATAGTCTTATAAATAAAATCTAAAATTATTAATCAAACTAGATTAACATATAAAAAAAATATATTTTATCTTATAAAGCAATAAAAATTTATGTGTACTAACATACTATTTAGAAGAAAATAAATAAACGAAGTATGAACATCAAATTAGCATAAACAAATATTCTGTAAGTTTATTTCTCGACTAAAACAGAGATACATAAACATTATGATAATGAAAAATAAAGTAAATAAATATTATAATTAAAATTATAAAAATAATTATTTTATTTCATAAAGTTTAAAATATTACACTCATACACATTATATTTTAAATTTTTGAACTTCCTGAAGTTGAATATATTTTAAAAAATATTAAATCAGGGAAAAAGATTGTATAAATATAAAGTACAATTATAATATAATCAAACTTGAAATCAAAAAAATTAAATGTGTGTGTGTCTGTATGGTTAAGAAAATTATCATTTTAACAATTTGAGTATAAAATAAGAGTATTATTTTAAATAATTATTTTTGTTAATTTTTTTAGTTATTAGTTGTATATTTAATTTTTTTATCATTCTATTATAATCTATTTAATTTTGACAAAAATAAATATATATTAAATAAAATTCGTAATACTTCATAAAAATATTTTATAGAATTCAAAATAATATTAAAAATACTTTTTGTTAATTATTTATAGTTTCTTAATTCACAATAATAAATTTTTTTTCACTTTTTGTTGGACAATTATTTTTTTATGAAACACCCGTGTAGTACACTGGCGTTGTACTAGTGATAAAGAATGTGGAGGCCTCCATTTTTAGTGGGATTGGCTTTTCCATCCTCTTGATGCTTTTGCAAGTGATAAGGAATGTGGAGGTCATTTTTACATTTGTTCATAAACTTTTCTACTCTCATGAAAAGAGTATTCATACTTCAGCCGGACGAGAAGTCTTCCCCAACCTCAACCCCTACTTCCTCCTAACTGGTTTAGGCTTTCCTGTATTCCCCTCACCCGATCGAGACCCTGAGTGACCCAATGGCCTACGATGATCATGACTCCAGCAACTATTTCAAGTCAGTTAACGAAGTCATACGACAACATACATTACAAGACTGGCCGTGAGGAAAGCAATGAAACATAGGAAACTGGATCTCCCCGCTCTTAACTTCTAGGTTGCCTCGTGCATGGAGTAAAAAAATGTTGACTGGGGTTTGGGATTCTGGTGATTCATGTAAATATGCATATAAAAGTGAAGTTTCGGACATGGATTTGCATCTGTGGTGTAAATGAAACAAAACCTTTGGTTCTGGTGTATAAATGTGATGCTGATGATGGTGATCATATTATCATTTGTTTTTATCAGCTACCTAAAAACATGAATGTGGATCATTAATATGATAATCTTTTACACTTATTTGTATTTTGTTCTAATTTGTATGTAATTTGACTTATTCTTTCTACAATTCTTTTTTGTTCCTTTTACCCAATTTTTTTTTAACTATGTTGCTTTAATGCCAAAAAGCGTCATTTGACGTCAAATTGAGAGCAAAAATAAAGTTGTCAAAGCTAGGTCAATACTGAAAAATATCCTTTTAAATATAAATTCGAATTTTCGATCTCCAACCAAACAAGATAATAATAACTTGGTGGGCTGCATATCAACCACTAAATATTATGAGAAATTTACTTCCTTTACAGCCCATTGACTAAATAATATCACATTTACGAGTACACAAAATTTTCATCAAATTTACGTATGTAATTAAAATAATGTTAATAGGTCAAGCGGTTAAATTTGGCCTGATTACCCGTTAATGTAATATTAATTATATTTATGTAAAGAAATCACATGTTCTCTCTCCATATCTCGTATATTAGTGCAGACCTTCATCTCTCACCAAAGCAACCTTTCATCTCTCTTACAGAAAAATTGAAGCCAAATCTCCGACCGAGGGTCGTGGCTCGACAGATCGACTGAAGTCGTAGGTAACCGCCGACAACATTTAAAGGCCAAAGACTTGGCCATATGAAGCAAAAGGAAGAATCGAAGCCAAATCTCCAGATGAATCTCCAGCCGACATCCACTACCATATGAAACAGAAGACTTAGCCATATAGATCGGAGGACCGCCACTTCACATCCCTCCCCTTCATCCGGAAAACTCCCGGTGACGCCCCGACAAAACCCCTCTAGAACCACCTCTCCCTATTCACCGCGAGAGCTCAACCGCCGCCTCCAGCGGCATGCCCCGATTTCGCAGCGATACCGTACGATGTCGTCTCGAGGATCAAGGCTTCGTTCTAACACAAATAAACAAAAAACATAAGGTGTCCGACGAGCATGACAGTCCTCCTCTCTATTATAGTGATTAGATGTGTTGCAATAATATTTTGTGAATCAAATTATAATTCATACTTGTTTGTTAATTGTGAATTTGTCTTGTTTGGATTTTTGGGAATGTTTTTTGTGCCTGTGTAGTGATTTGTCAGTGGCGCTTTTGTTGGATTTTTTTTGGTACTATTGACCAATGTTATCAAAACCGGACCGGACCGGCCGGTTCGACCGGTTCAACCGGGAACCGGCCATAACACCGGTTCGGTTTGGATACAAAACCGCTAATCTCAAAAACCGTTCAGAAACCGTTCAAACCGGTTGAAAACCGGTAAAACCGGTAAACCGAAAACGGTTTGTTGGCCCAACGGTTTTTAATTTTATACTTTAAAATTTGGACTGTAAGATTAATATTTGAACTTGTGATTCCAAAATGGACCAGCCCAAACTTACTTCTTTCAAGTTGAAAAGCCCAACATGTGATGTAGCCCATTAACTTGATAACATTTTACTAAAAGCCAACCACACGGTTTTGCTTTACTGAAGGGGTAGTTAATATCATCTACTTTGTGATCACTTTTATAGTCACTATTTCCTTCAATTTAGTATTCTCAAGCGATGTGGGAGTGGGACACATGATTTTCAGCTTTCATTGACGGAATGAAAGGAAGATTAAACATCCCACTTTTATTTATTTATTTTTTTATTTCTGTCAGCAAATATTTAAATAATGGATATATATATATAAGGTATTATTAGTTATTTTAAGTGTTTGAATGTTTTAAATTATCTTAATATTTAATTAAAAAATCTTTTATATATAAATTTTATTATATAAAATATTATATATGTTTAAAAATATTAATAAATTAAATACCGGTCCAACTGGTTCAACCACTGGTCAGACCAGTGAACCATTGAACCAGTAGCTTCACCGGTTCGATGACCGGTCCGGTTTTGATAACATTGCTATTGACATGATGTTTTGTTGCATATTTTGTTTTTTTTTTTCTCTTTTTTCTGGTGAACTTCAGTGAAGGAATATTTGTTCTATTGCTTTTGGAATTTTTTTTGCACGATGTTAACCTATCAAAATGCACTTTTCGGACCATTTTTTCTATCCGGTATTGTAATTTTATCTTATGTTTTTAAGAGACTTACACACACATACTTTAAGTAATGTGTTTACCTAAAGTATATTATACCGGGTTGTAAACACAAAATAGAGACATACGCACACATACGTGTTTAACTAATGTATATTACACCGTGTATTAAACATCCGGGTAGATAAACACACATACCGTGTATTATACATATATATATATATATACATAAGATAAACAACATATAAACATATTTTTTATTCTCCAACATTATACTAAAAGTAAGCAATAAGTAAACAACCATTAAAGAAAGATTATAAACTTCAACAATATCATTACAACTTAAAAAGTAACAGAAAGTTATATATAAACGGTACATAAACAGAATAGCCGAACATCCACAGGTAAATTTGGACATCACGCTCAGAAGAAGCTAAGTTTATATACATAAACGGTATATAAACGGTACATAAACAGAATAGCTGTCCACAGGTAAATTTGGACATCACGCTCAGAAGAAGTTAAGTTTATATACATAAACGGTTTATAAACGGTACATAAACAGAATAGCCAAACATCCACAGGTAAATTCGGGCATCACGCTCAGAAGGAGCTAAATTTATATACATAAACGGTATATAAACGGTACATAAACAGAATAGCCGAACATCCACCGATCCAGGTCGCGCGACCACCGGCCTCCGCCAGCCTCCATTAGCCTAAGCCCAGGGACGCAATCGCTCGCCTATGAGTTTCTTCCATTGTGATGTATAAACACATTCACATCAGTCATGTTCCTGTAAAATAAACATATTTACTAAATAAATATTCAAGTTTACATGAATAAAATTGTGTTTACTTATTGTATACAATACGTTTAGATATACAAAAAGATGGATTATGGTACATGAATCAAGAGAAAAAAAGTATTTATTTAATGCTCTGATATGGTAATTACACACCAATTTGTTTATTTTCTAATCATATAAAGCGAGTCTATAAATAAAATCAAACGAAAAGAACTACACACACCTCTCTTACGAATGACCCTCAGATGATACCTCCTTCAACTGCTCGATTAATGATCTAGCCGACCTCAGCGTTTCACTCACAGAACAAAGTTCTCCGATCGATAGCATCTCACCGGAAACGGCCGCATCCACAATCGGAGAGACGTCTTCGATTCCTGAGAAGTCCAACGGCCGCGGAGGTCTGGTCCAGGAGATGGCGTGTCTCGCCCGAACTTCGGCCCAACGGGATGCGTGCTGAACGTGCCGCCACGAGGCCCATGGAGGTGCTAAACGCGCCGCCGCAAATTATTGAACAAAATATGAGTTTCTTCTATTGTGATGTATAAACACATTCACATTGTAAAATAAACATATTTACTAAATAAATATTCAAGTTTACATGAATAAAATTGTGTTTACTTATTGTATACAATACGTTTAGATATACAAAAAGATGGATTCTGGTATATGAATCAAGAGAAAAAAGTATTTATTTAATGCTCTGATATGGTAATCACACACCAATTTGTTTATTTTCTAATCATAATAAGCGAGTCTATAAATAAAATCAAACGAAAAGAACTACACACACCTCTCTTATGAATGACCCTCAGATGATACCTCCTTCAACTACTCGATCAATGATCTAGCCGTCCTCAGCATTTTACTCACAGAACAAAGTTCTCCGATCGATAGCATCTCACCGGAAACGGCCGCATCCACAATCGGAGATACGTCTTCGATTCCTGAGAAGTCCAACGGCCGCGGAGGTCTGGTCCAGGAGATGGCGTGTCTCGCCCGGACTTCGGCCCAACGGGATGCGTGCTGAACGTGCCGCCACGAGGCCCATGGAGGTGCTAAACGCGCCGCCGCGAATTATTGAACAAAATATGCATGTTTTTTTTTTTTTTTTTTTTTAGCGTTGATGTCTGGTGCATCTTGCCATGATTAAAGTTTGTTTTTAATCAAGATATGGAAAGAGAGTAACTCATCAGATATGGAGATATTGAAATATGGAAAGAGAGTAACTCATCAGATAGGATTTAATTGAAATCTCGTAATTTTGCAATAGAAATCATAATAGAATCCTTTATTGATTAAAGTTTGCAATTGTTGTATATATGTAAATATATATACATAAGACTACATGTACGTAATTTTCCCAAATATTATTAATCAAACTTAATTATGGAGGAAATACAATCAAGTAGACACTCACTTAAAGCCCAAAAGTGATAATATCAAGTTCCATATCACAATTCAACCAAACTCACATTAACTAAAGCTTTTCACAAAAAAATGGGTGAAGAAAGACAACCATGTAGAGCATTAATGATCCTGTGTTGACTGAATTAAGCAAAACAAAGGTCATGATACCAAAATAACCATCATCTGGTCAGCACTTCTCTATTCGGCCAAACCATGGACAAAAGAAAAGAAATTATAGAACCCAAATAATATCATATCACGATATTCCATAAAGTAGGCAAGACAGATTCCTTTGTGCGAGCTCCATCACACCCTACTCATCAACAATAATGAAGAAACATGCCGAAAAAAAAAAATATAGACTCGCACATGATTATAACTATGATTATAATGTATGATAAAGGGGGAGTTGTAGTTCAAAACAGTACCATAAGTCTATCGAACAACAGTATTTATGAGAAAGTACAGCCATATCCAAAATGTTTGTTCAACACATGAATCACTATTAATGGCATGTCCTATTATCTTTCATGAAAGCTATTTCTTAGAAGCCTTCTTCTTCGGGCCAGAAGGAGCAGGCTGTGGCTTCGGGTGCTTCTCAACCTCAGTTGGGTCCAACCAATGGAGAGGGTGACGATTAAAAAATGGCCAGTTAGGAATAGTGATAAGCGAAGTTAATGCAACTCCAGCTGCATAAATAAGCATCATGGTCTGAAAGGACCCCAGAACATATCCCGTAATAAAGGCGGCTACTGCAAAAAATACCAATAGCAGTTGCATCAGCTGCTCAGCTAGCTTTTGCCCTTGCCAATCCATCTAGTGAAGCTACTTCACGACCTGATGAAACAAAATTATATTGTTTTATATCACTGTCAAAAAAATAACAAATCAAAAAGGAAGAAAAGGAGTCAAAGGATATTTACACCACCAGATATAGACAATAACCATAAGATAAATCAAAGGAGATCCAAAAGGATTCGAAACATGAATTAGCATCGGAATTGTATCATGTGACGCTCTATACTGCTATAAAGATACATGGAAAGGCAACCTTAACCCGTCTATAATAATACCATATTCATAAATATGGCATGCAATGGCTACATGGGAGAACTTAAGGAATTTACTAATGGCTTAGTATGATCATTAATTCTACATAATGGTAGCACGCACTTGATTCAAAGGAATAGAATGGTTCCATGAACATTAACGACACCAGCAAATAACATCTTAATTATAGGCAAACAATAAGGTTACGAGTTTACAGGCATGAAAAGGTAACAAACTACATACCGATCACTGCAGAAGCAACCCGATTCGAGGAGTTTTGATTGTTAATAATATGATAAAACACAAACGCTAATAACTCGTTAACAGGATAAGCTATGATGAGAAACAATTACATCAGCAAAACAGAATAAGTTGTTTGAAATATCAACAGATGATAAGAACATAATAAAGGGATCAGAAGACACAAAAAGGCAGAGATACGAGATGCAGAAAAAATCAAACACGTTAAAGAACAATTAATTATGATTGCATAATTATTGGAATTAGATAATATACAGGATCCCCATGGACCAAATTGATAAAAGAATACAATGGAAATATTCTGGAGTTGATAAACCACCCCAGCAGCCAAATTGTGTGAGATTAAACATTTGCTCAATTGCTGGGGCAATTTTAAGAAATAAGAAGGAAACATTGTTTTCCTGTTGCAATAGCTAGCAACACACCCACCCACCACAAAACACAGCACAGAAACACACAAACATATATATATGTATATATATATATATATATATTATATATAAAAGATTTCAATTGAAATAGATCTTTGCCTAAATCCTTTAATCAACCAAAGATCGACAGCTTCTTCTTAAGACCACTTAACTCGTATAAACAAAAATTTCAGCAAGCACCCGAAAACATCAATTCAACAAAATTCTCCAGAAGAAGGTAGCATGCTCATTTTGCGGTCACATTACCAAGCATGTCCGCGCACAAATACTCACGAAGATAATTCCAATTAATATCCACATTCAACCTCAAATCCAAACAAAATACGCATTAGATGAAATATCCACAATCTGTCGAACACATTTCTGTAGAAAGGGCACAAAATAAATAGCCGATCAAAAAAACACACATCACACGCATCACTGAAAATGTTAAATCTAAGATTCACGCGGTTAACAGAAGTCGGATCCAGATGAAGGAAAGTGTGCTCACCGGAGAGACGACGACTGGAGAGGACTTTGTGCGAGGGCTCGAAGGTTTTTTAGGGTGCGACTCAGTCAGTGAAGACTTCAAGTTAAAGGATTTTTGAGAAGAGATTAATCCAAACACTCGTACTCAGTATGTAGCCCATGTTGACTTCATGATTTTGAGTACATCTGAAAGCCCAAAATCAAATGGACTCATGTATGTAAGTTTTCTATGTGCCCAACAATATTCTATTAAGAGGAAACTATATAGCCTACTGCACAATATTTTTTATTACACATTTACAATCCATATATATATATAGTTATTTTCAAAGTAACTAAAATTATCACATTTATTAGAAACATACTAGAATGTTAGTTTAACTATAATTATACTTTATTTATGGAAAGAGCGGGTTTAATATGGAGTTGATTTATTAACCCAAATTGATTCTTATCATTAAGGAAATAATACCCACGATTACACTCACCACCGTCCATGTAGAGCTTCTTCTACCTCGCTCCCTCTATCATTAAGGAAAGTCTTGGGACCGTCGTGAACAAGCCTATTTCAACGTGCTAGGTGACTTAAGGTCGTGTTTGACGGTCGATGAGTTATTGCAGAAGGAGATGAGGAGTTCTGGGGTGGTCGTGGCATCGCGTAGTGTCAAAGTGGTTGTGCTAGAGGTGTGATTGGGATGTTGATTGTGAGATAGGCTTTTCAAATGTTTCTCTCTCTCTCTCCCTCTCTCTCTCTGATAGAACTTGTTGATGTGTTAAAAGTGACGAGTTGTTAATTAATCTAAGGATTTTGTTTAGCTGATATGTTTTATAGTATGTTAATGTGTCGAATAGAAAGGTCATATTATCGTTGCCTTGTAAAATATTGATATAGCCAAATAAAGATATACCGGCCCAAAGGCTCTCTACTCGACCGGACAGTGGCTCAAACCGTTCACATGTCGACATACACCCATCGATATGTTCAAGTCGACTTCCTCCAAATCGACTCTTAACAAGATTAATGCTGAGAAATGGCAGATTCCATACAAGTCAACTCCCAGAAGTCGACATTGTTCAGTCGACTTCCTGAAAGTCGACATCTATTTGAGAAGACCAACAAGAGCGTAGCCTCCGAATAACCAGAAGATCCTGGGTCGACTCGTTCATACTCGATGTCGACTCCTTGTACCTCGAGACGTGAGGCACACTGACGACTCATCACACTTGTGGCATTTCTGGGAACCTCTTGTCCTCCAATGGATAAGAGGGAATCTTGTGATGACTCAGCAAGAAGGGGAGACGAATCGACCAGGGTAATTTAGACCTTTCAAGTCAACCGACCGGGGCATTTCGGTACTTCAAGTAAGTGTTTCTTCCTATATAAAGGAGGTGAGGTAACCCTAAAGCCTAACTCCCATTCATTCCATATTCTCCCTCATAGCTGCTGCGCAGCCTCTCTTCATCTCTCTCATATACTGACTTGAGCGTCGGAGGCTCTACGCCGGAAACACCTCCGGCGTTGAGTTTTTGCAGGTAATCTCGCGGTCTAGCAACGGTTTGAAGGCGATTCAAACAGATCTGAGCTCATTACCACCGGTTTACTCTAGATCTGAGAGTAGACCCATCATTTTGGCGCCGTCTGTGGGGAGTTCTTGAAGGAATTAAGAGCTTTACACCTAGCTCCGATCTGTTTTTGATGGCTGAGAAGGAGGGTTTGCAGAAGAACTTGAATGAGGAGTTTAGGGGAGCTTGGACAGACTGGAGACCACACACCACTCTCTACCCCTAGACCTCCAGTGATGCAGATGCTAGGACTACCACCGTTTGGACTTCCACCGCCGGGAATGACTTTTGGTGGAGAAACACCCGTTACTCCACCCGAAGTGAAGATGCAAGTGTTGACTTAAGTAGGAACAAGTCAAAACCCTAATCCGGGTGTTGGGGAGAAGGAACCAACGGAGCTGTCTCGACGTGAGGGGAAGCAAATTCAGGAGATGCCGGAGCAGACACAAACACAACCCCGCGTCGAAGAACAAATGCTGACGATGACGAGGAGTGAGATGCAAAAGATGATTGTTGAAGCTGTAGCCGCCCAGATGAAGCAAGTGATGCGAGTCGAGTAGAACCCCTGAGTCGAGCAGAAACCACAAGTCGAGCAGAACCTACGGGTCGAGCAGCCACCTCGTGTCGAACAGCAGGCTCAATCGAATGTGCAACAAAACAGAAGGGTGGACGAGGAAGAATCTTCCATTCGAACAGTCAACCCGCACGCGAGAGACGAGACATTGGAGCAGTTGCTAGCCCAGGTCCGCGACTTACAGGCTAAAGTCGGGGGAAAGAAGAGCAGAGGGGCGAAGGAACACCCATTCTCGCAACAGATCTTGCGGGCCGACTTACCCCAAGGCTTCATGGAGTTGAACATATGGTACGATGGCT